GTGTGTGTGTGTGTGTGTGTGTGTGTGTGTGTGTGTGTGTGTGTGTGCCTACATTTTCGACTTATTTCTTTACCAAGTGCTGCCGTCCTAGTGGCGTTATAAAACAGTGTCAACAGGGACAGCAGCTACGATGTCAGACCTTTACTTTTCAGAAAAAGACATGAGTAGTACATAAGCTAATGTATTCTCATAAAGAGTGTTTATACAGGCGCTAACTAATAGAACACTGGATATGCACCGTAAATCTACGTGAGATTCACCATTTCTTCCCCCGTGTTTTTCAGCGTTATTCAAGGAACTGCAGGGCCTGGACATTTTTTTGGCAGAACTCTACAAGTAAGAACTCCTTACTTTAGCCTCCCCTCCTTATATCCCACCTCCCTCCTCATCGTGTCGCTGCTCTTTGCTGTAACGAGAGTGTGTTTGTAAGAGAACAACAGGGTCGATAGGGTAAAGTCAAAGGGGTCTGCGCCGGACACGACTCTCTTTTGCTCCGCCTCTTTGACACATCGCCTTTCAGCAGACTAGATATCAGTATTCCCCCCCCCCCCCCCCTCCTGCTGTCCTCATTGTCCTTCTCCCCATCCTTCCTCAGACATCTGGACAGCAGCAGCAATGAAAGGCCAGACATCAGCACTATTCAAAGAAGAGTCAAGGTACGGCCTCGATCACCTCTGTTTCTATGACAGCACGAGACCTGTCCGCATGCTTTTAACACCGGCTGCCTGGAGACGGCCTAGTTACCAATGCCCATATGTAAAGTATGTTTGATACCGTTTATGTGTCTACTGTAGTCTAATCATTAACACTCCTCAACAAAGAGCTTCCTCTCTCACTGCCTGCTGATGTAATTGCTGAAACACAGCGTCTCTGATTAAGATGCTTCCTAGGGTTGGGATGGTAGATACTGTTGCAGGCTCCTCAGCGTCTTCTCGTCTCCTCCTTGTCTTTTTAGAAAGTGACACACGACATGGACATGTGCTACGGCATGATGGGTAGCCTTTTCCGCAGTGGCTCCAGGCAGACTTTGTTTGCCTCTCAAGTGATGCGTTACGCCGACTTGTACGCAGCCTCCTTCATCAACCTGCTGTACTACCCCTTCAGCTACCTCTTCAGAGCCGCACACGTACTGGTGAGTCCCTGGATGTAAACACAGGGAGCTGCATTAAACCAAACACCTTCAGAGGTTAGGGCTAATAGCACTTCTTTAGCGTACTGATACAGATGTAGAAGTCTTGTACTTTTAGGATTGTAAAACTTGAACTGTAGACATTTCTCTCGGGTCACAGGCTTCGAGTAAGTGGGCTCGTGTTGCCAAGTTTCTTTTTCACATTTGTTCCTCCCTCTTCCCCAGATGCCGCACGAGTCGACGGTGGAACACGCCCACATGGACATCGACACGGAGTCGCCACTGGCCACACGCAACCGCGCCCACTGCAGCGACTGCAAGGACCTGGACTGCAAACGCAACCAGCTGACCCGCTCCTTCAGCGAGATCAAACCTCCCAACCTGTTCCCCCAGACTCCCCAGGAGATCACTCACTGCCACGATGAGGATGATGATGAGGAGGAAGAGGAGGAGGAGGAGGAGGAAGAGGAGGAGGAGGAGTAATAAGCTGGACATGGAGAAGAAAGTTTCTGCCTTCTCAAGTCGGGTAGTTGTCTCTCTGAGTGAGGCAGGAAGGAAAAACATCTCCAGTGTGTGTGTGTGTGTGTGTGTGTATGCACACACACACACACACACACACACACACACACACACACACACACAC